GAGGCGCCGAGGGTGAGGGATGCGGTGAAGGTGCGGGGTTCGGATATGCCGCCTGCGGCGAGGAGGATGGGTTTCGCACATTGGGTCCGGTGATGTAAGGTGTCGATGGCGTCGCCGACTTCGGGGAGGAGGGTAATTATACTTGCGCCCTGGACGAGACCATGGCCTCCCGCGTCTGTGCCTTGGACGACGAGGACGTCTGGGCCGATTCGTTCGACTACCTCCACAGCATCTTTTACACTGCCTACCTGAACCCAGATCTTCGTCGAAGGAGAGGCGGTTCTACTTGCTTCGGCCCATTGCACGAGGGATGCTGTTGATGAAGGCGCGAAGAACCATACTGCTGCTGGACGGTGTTGCGCGATGATGGGTATGGCCGTTTCGAGATCTGCGCCCCAGTTTATGAAGCCGATGCCGATGGGGAGTGTTCCGTTCTTCGTTGGTAGTGCGGCGGGTGTGTCGTTCAGGAGTGTTTTTGCGTGCTGCATGTGGGATTCTAGATCTGATACGTCTGTTCCTGCGCCTATGAAGCCGATTCCTCCTGTGTGGGTTGGTTAGGATGATGTTGTACTGCTGATGCGTGCTGTAAAACTTGAGAAAGGATAGAGGGGCTTGGTAAGGCAGATTACCCACGGCAAGAACATGGGAAAGTATTGGCGTGATAGTCTCCTCTTCAACTTACCGGCTTTCGATATTTCAACAGCCATGTCCGCTAGAGCGATCAAGCGCATCGGCGCGCCTACCACCAGCGGCGTTTGAATCCATGGGTAATCCACTCTCAATCTTTGCATGTCGTCCGTCATTTCGTCTTCTCTTCTGTTGACAATCTATCCTCGTCCTGGACAGTCTTTGATTTTGTTCTCCTGCTCAGCGGAAACCGATTTTGGGTAAGTCGATCTAGCAAATGCTGGCTTCCGAGTCTTTTCTACCACTTTGACATAACGTAGGGTGAACCTGTATTAAGACCGAGGTATGTGAAAACGTGCGAAATGACAGCCTCATTCGGATGCGTGACTAGGGAAGATGACGCGCTTTAGTTTTAGAGGTTCCGGTAGACCTACCGGAAGGCTATGACATCTCCTCGGCTATACAACATCGACCTAGTCGGCCTTAACCGGCATGGAACCTCTACAACACGGCCACCAAATTCATGTCAATGTATGTTACTGTTATGTTCGATTCTCATTACATCTTTTCCTCCTAGATACCCAAAAGTATTAACTAATATACTAATCCCAAAGTCTATGTTGGCATGGAACGGAACCCAGAACCTCATGCGCGCTCATGCTCGTAGAAAGCAGGATAACCGCCTGTATCTACATGCACCCGTATCATTAAAAACGCAAAGCTTCATAGAGCAATGAAGGGTTGTGAAGTCGTCTACAACTCCTTCTCTCTCTTCTCCCACTCTACAACACCGGGAGCCAACGGTCTGGAGAACAAACTCGAGTAGTCGGTGTTGACAATGTCCTTGCTGCCACCCACATTCCTGAGCTTGAACTCGCGCACAAACGCCACGAGAATGGTCTGCAGTTGGAGGTAAGCAAATTGCTCGCCGATGCATCGGTGCCTTCCAGCGCCAAAGGGCAGGTAGGGAGAGTTTGTTCCCTTGGAAACAACACCCCAGCCGTAGTCAATCTTCTCCTGGTCGGCGTCGTCACGCTCCTCGTCGTATTGTTGGTGCTCGGCGTCCCAGCGGTGCGGATCCCAGACGGAGGGGTTGACAAAGTGGGTGTCGAGCTGAGCGGAGAAACCAGGCGAGGACATAAGCGTGTGGGAGGTGGGTACAACGTAGTTTGTTCCATCGACGACAAGAGGTTGCTTGACCTTGCGCATGATAGAGTGGATCGGGGCGTGGATACGGAGGGTCTCCTTGACGACTTGAGTGTGGAGGGGTAGCTTCTGGAGGTCTTCGTAGGTTAGCGGTGGGAGGTCCTCACCAAGAGCCGACTTCTGCTCAGCAAGGAGTTCCTCGACCAGGTGGGGGTTTTGTGCCAATCGAAGAATGATCCAGGAGATGGTTGATGAAGACGAATGTTGACCAGCCATGAGCAGCGCAATCATGATTCCGGCAATCTCGTGCTCGGGAACTGGTGTGCCGTCCTTGTACTTGCAGTCCATAAGATGCCAGATCATGTCGGGAGAGTCCTTCTTGACCTCACCCGATCTCCTCTTGCGAACAACCTCAGAGTATAGCTTGATCATCGTCTCACGTGCGTTGTCGCGCGCGCGGTTGTGGGGAAGCGGGGCCCAAGACAGCATGAAGTTGATGGGTGAGAAGCCCATGTCGAGGTCGTGGTATAGCTCAGCGAACTTGGAGTCGAACGAGTTGCGGATTTCCTGGCCTTGGAGCGAACGAGAGGCGGTGTAGATGGTGAGTTCGGCCATGACTTTGGGAACGTCGAAAGTGCCCTTCTGTCCCTTGAAAGCCTTGTGGCGCTTGACGAAGTCTTCGCATTCTTGTGTGATGAGGGTAACGTAGGAGCGGAGGGCGTCTTGGGTGAGACCGAACTTGACGAACTGTCTTCGCGTTAGCCATGGATCGATTAGGAGACTGAGTCGTACGCACCTTCTTCTGCTCCATGAGCTTCGAGTTGGGGCAGTCGTATACGACGTCCTTTCCAAAGACCGGTGTGCAGAGCGGGGAGTAGATCTCCTCGGCGTTGACGTCCTTGATCTTTCCATTGAGGATGAAGTTGTTGCCGGTGGTGTCGAGACACACAGTCATCTTGCGGCCGAGGAGGATAAAGGTGAAGACATTGCCATACTACTTCCAGTCAGTCATGTTCAACCTGCCATTGCATTTCCTACACACCTTCTTCTGGTTGGCGAAGAAGAACGCATACGGGTCCATGCCATATGTGACGGTGCTACCGATCACGGGCAGCCAGTGGAACACGAGGGGCGGCTCATTGGGCTTCTTGAGCAGCAGCTGCTTCAAGACATTGAGAACGACGGCGAGCAGGATAAAGGAGGCGAAGCCGGCGGCGACGAGGACGGGGAGCGACGAGGTGGAGGTGAAGTTGCCCAAGGGGCCGGCGACATTGGCGAGGAGACCCATACTGCGCGACAAGAAGCAACAACACAAGTGAAGGGCGTGAGGGAATGGCGTTGTTGACGGGGACGCGCCTCAATAAATTTCCCACGGGTTGAGGCTCGCGCAGGGGCCAGGCTATCCAATCATACTATAGCCGTACAGCGCGGCGTCTGAGTGGATGAGTGCAGGTGGGCTGGCGGGCGGTGGGCGGTGTCGAGAGCTTGGCAGGGACCGGCTTGCGGATCTTAGCGCACCCGTTCAAAGGAGACAAGATGGCACCACTGACAGGCCATCCAAACCAAATACCCTCCCATCGTACATTGTGCCACGTCTTTGGTCTGAGGGATACATCACCTTATCCACAACCCGAAGCAGACAGCACTGAAGTGTGAAATTTCACCCTTACTACGCTATGCTCTACTATTTGACTGCGCAATACATGTACTTATCCCTAGCCTATCCCGTTACGGCTCTTGTTCTATCAGGTGTCTAAACATTACTGCGCTTTGGTTTCGTTGTTCATGTTGTTCCGGTTTGCCTCCAACACGCCGTCGGTATAGCTGCAGCATATGGACTCCAGCTACACATCGTCAACTATGGATAGTTGAACATACGGGCAGCAGCGGGCTGTGTGACAAGCTCATGCTCTTGCTCTGCTTAGCGCCGTATCTCGTAGGTGGGTAGGCTATCAGAGGCTGAGGAATCGATGCACATAGATGAGCGCAGCCGGTTGAAGGGAGGCGTGGGGTCCACGGCTGGTGGACGCATGTCAGCAGTGGCGATGTCTCAGCCTTCTCTTTACCTTTAGATAAATTCATCATCGCCCTGGCAGCACTCTCTCTTTATTGTTAGGTAAATACAACCGTTCCTTCCAATCCAGACGTCGCTTCCAATCGATTTCGTGGTTATGAACTTCCGCAACGGCCTTCAAAGCGTCCGTACCGCCTTCCGAGACCTCAAGCGAGACCTCAAATCGACACAATGGCTGCGAGGGTTAGGATGGTTCTTTGGATTCGTCTGGAATTCCAGCCTTTTCGTCACTCTGATATTAGTCGCCACCGGAACGGCGTGGCTGTGTCGTTCTGACCTCGAGGCTTGCCAAGCGGACGGCAGTTTTCATCTAGATCCAAGGGCTTACAACGTGTGGTCATCATCTGGCTTTTTCCAAGTTACGTTAGGTGGAGGACACCTGACATGCGCAGAAGCAAAGGCGGTTGATATTGTATGGGACGTTGTGAGCTGGCCCGAGTTGGAAGGCACGGAATTCGATACTGACAACTGATAGGTCATGGGCCGTGGAGGTCAATTATTGTTGGCGATCGTATCGTGGCGGGAGTTCGCAAGGTATCTGACGATATGCATGGAAGACAAACCTATCAGCTATCGGTTATTCCGGACGATATTCATCGAGAATGATGCATCGCTAATATCAACGGGCCGGACTATCAAGAGTTTCATTCGGCAGCCTAAATTACATTCCAAAACCGCGATGGCATTTATGGTTGCCACCATGTTATTTATCCTGGCATTCCCTACACTCATGAGCGCTATGAGTGGTTACGACTCCAACGTTGTGTCTCTTGTCCAAGATGGCGATGATAACCTTGTCTCTTTCGACAAGTATGCGCGGGTCCTCTATGTCATTCACGATGGCTGGAGAGTTGGCGAACATGGCAATTACTGGATCACGGAAATGCCAACTCCATGTGAGCATAGTGTTCCCTTCCGTCTCTGTCTAAGAAGGATCAGTCAATGACCGAGATACGTAGATGATCCCGTGCCGAACCCACAATATCATTGCCGTACTCCCGCGCCGTCAAAATTCGGCAGCTCTACGTGCAACTTAGTGGCACATGTCTCTCAATGTAAGACCGTACGTGATATATATGGTGTAACCTTTTAAGCAGTCACAGATGTCAAACAACATGGACTTGGCGGGACCCGAAACGAATCGTCGCAATTTATGGATACGCTCCTAGAATCACCTGTCCTCACCATCACTGCGTACAAAAGCGAAGTGGAGAGCCTCGGGGGCCAAGACTCTCCTGAACTATTAGACATAACTTGGGTGAAGGAGAACAAAACGTTCGATCGCACGTACATGGAGCTCTACGGCAAGTGCCAGAACACGGAGGTAGGTCGTCACTGAGCCTTGGAGATATTGTCATGTCATGCTAAGCGTTTGTTCTAGGACTATAAATGGGGATTCTCACTTTTGCAGCTCATCATCAGCATGGTACTGCTGCTCGCATGGACAGTCGGGATCTACATAATGTGGATCTACACACATTTCACTATTGCGTCCAACAACGGCCATTTCGAGGAAGTCTCTGGAGAATATCGCGCAGTCCTCAAGTTGGCAGCAGCTATGAGGATAGAGCTCGATATCGAGGACACTGATCTTTCAGTGCTTAGAGAAAAACAACTGAAAGAAAGGGTTGACAAAGAGATACAGGGCGGCACAGTCTTCCACGCATATCCCGACTCCACGCTGAAGACTCATAGTATTCGGGAAGGCCTCAAAACTTGGTTCAAGAAGGATAAATGGTGGTTCTTGGCTATGTTGGGTACAAGTCTAGTTTGCTCGATCGGATCGATGTACGATGGGGGCATTTTCTTCTACTGGCTTTCTGGAGTTTGCGTTGGCCAATTCTGGGCTTTCTGCATAGGTACCACTGTGGGCAGTCGATCTCTCATTATCCTACTTCACAGCCTTGTGGCTGGACTTATTGTGGGCACTCTGAGCATTGTGGCAGCATTGATATACAGGTGGGGTCATGGTGCAAAATGTCATCTTTACTACGCTATGCTCCGTAAAATGACTAGGCCGCAGTACGTGTACTGATCCCTAGCCCACTATTCTACACTTCTGCCTGTGCTGCCGTAGGACTCCCATAACCCGTTAACCCTCAGAATACGCCAGACGCTCCGCTCGAAAGAAATACCACACCATCTCAGTTCACCTGACCTTTGCTCTGTGCGGATGCAAGGCTTTGGTCAGTTGCATAGCGGGAACCGTCCTCCTCTTCCGAGTACAGAGTCTGATCGCCTTTACCGCCCATCTCGACAAACTCGTTGGGATTTCGCTCATCGGCAGGCCTTACCTCTGCAGCACCATGGGTCTTGCCGTTCATCTTCGTACCGTTCTCAACTCCATTCTTTGCGTAAACTTTGACGGGCTCTTGGCCTTCAGCGGCGTTGATGACACGCGTGACTTTAACATCGTTAATGCTACTAAGCATAGTGCGCTCCCGTTGTATCTTGCGCTTGGAGAAATCGAGCTTGGATATGGCCCCCGTAAGACCGTCTGTGCTGTCGGTGACGCTTATCCTGTCTTGCGTAGTCCACGGGTGCTGCAGACATTCATCAATCGATATCCGTTTCTCAACATCGACTGTGAGCATCTTGTCGATGAGATCTAGCGCAGGGTCGCCAACGGAATCCCAGTACGGTGACGGATAGTCGAAGCGGCCCATTTTGATCTGTTGTGATAGTGTGTATGGGTTGTCCTCACTGTACAGCTCGTCTGAGAATGGAGGAAACCCACACAGGCAGATGTACAAGACGACGCCTAATGACCAAACGTCGACGGCTCTGGTGTAGCGGCGGTGGTTGGAGTTTTCTAGGATCTCGGGCGCAACGTCTGGAAAACATTAGCATACTGTCGCACTTTGCAATATGATAACATACATGACGGAGTTCCACACAGTGTGGTTGTGAAGGATTCTTCGCCAATAATTTTGGCAAGACCAAAATCAGCCAGCTTGATCGACAGATCCTTATCTGTAAGCAAGATGTTCTCGGGCTTGATATCTCTGTGTACAATGTTGCGCTCATGCTGGTATGTGTTAGCGTTGAACCAGAAGGGTAGCTGGGGACTTACCAGGTACTTAACCGACTGGAACAATTGTACGAACACCTTGCGTGCCTCCGTCTCGGTCAACTTTTGTTTCATGACGATCCAGTTGAACAGCTCGCCCTCAGTCGCGAGCTCGAGCACTAGGTAGACACCATCATCCTCATCAAATGTGTCCTTGAGACACAGCAGCGCCGGGTGGCTAACGCTCATCAACACGGCAATCTCTTGCTGCAGACCCTCGACCTTGGACTTCTCGCCAGGACCAGAACGCTTTTCGAACTTCTTCACTGCGTACCGTACGCCTGTCGCTTTCTCTGCGCAGAGGTATACTGAAGCAAAATGCCCCTTGCCTAACTGCTCCTGCATGGTGTATTGTTGTCGGAACCGGTGGGTGTTGCGCTTCAACGGGTATCTGAAGACATAGCGGGCTTGGTCCAAGATGGCAATCTCGTCACCTTCGCGCAATTCGCGTCGCTTGTTCCGCCCAACGAAGATGTCGTTGACAAATGTTCCGTTTCCAGACAAGTCTTCGAGTACAGCGACAACATCGCCGCCCTTCTTCTCTGTGAACAGCAGACAGTGCCGGTTTGAGACGGTGGGTGAACTGAGGACTCGATCTGCAACGTGTCAGACAAGCGCTCTTTCGCAGGGACTATTACCGCGACTTACCGCACTCTCTGTGGCGACCGATGAGGTAGCCACCTGCTGGTACACCGCGCTCCTGCTTCTCCCTCTCGTACCTATCCTCCTGCTTTTTGTACTCTTCTTTGCTTACCCGCTCTGTTCCTTCGGTCTGGCCAACGAGTCCCTGCGGAACGGGACAGGCCTGTCGCCGGCGCAGTACTAGCACGTCTTTGTCCCGGCCATCCATAGGCACCAGGTAGCCCCAGACCTCTTCTTCCTCTTCATCTTCTACGGCGTACGTCCGGCTGTCGGGCGGGTAGACGAACTGGGAGAAGGGCTGGGTGTCGGATGGGGGCGACGAGAGACCACCGCGTGCCTGGCTTGGCTTGCTGGGCGGGGGGCTCTGTGTGCCTTCTTTGTAGCCTTCCGAAGCATCTCCGGTGGATTCCTTGTGGGTTACAGGCGACGGCAACGGTCCCTGCTTAAGACGGCCGTTGGGAGGCGGCGACAGGCGCGAGTGGCGAGTGCGCTTTGGTTCGGCCTCTTCGCCCTGCGAGTACTACAGCAATTGAAGCGTCAGCGGCCGCTCCCAGTCACATACTTGGCAGTACAACGGCTACCTACGCGGTTTCGCTTGAGCTGGCTTTTCTCAGTCTGGGCCGGCATCTTGACAACAAGGGCGAGTAGTGGAGTCGAGACGGCGACGGCGACGGAGACGGGGTCAATGCTGGGGCGGGTATGGCTGTCTAGATAGGCAGCATAGTGTTGCGAACGATGGAAACGAATAGTAAGGGCGGGCGAGTCTGGGCCGCTAAGCTGGACTGAGATTGAACGTCCGCAGGCCCTCGAGCCTTGGACGATGTTGCAGGCAGCCAAGCCCTGGAGCCGGGGAAGTCGCGTCGCACCCCTGCCGATTTGCGCGTGGCGAGCCTGCCGCCCTGTTAAGTGGCCCGGAGTGACGCACCGGCAAGCTGCCACCCATGACAGCTTCCTCATTTGCATTACTCAGCCCGAACAAAACCACGCACAAGCATGCTTCCAAGTTTTCCTCACCTCGATGCAATTGAGTTTGAGCACGCCTGCGATGCGCTGCAGCGATGCTTCCAGCTGAGAGGTAGCGCGCAGCACGAGTGGCTTTCCGTGGAGAAGAGGCACCGAAATGGGTCCGTATATCTCAACATTACCACCCATCTGCCGCTCTGTGCAGATCGACCTGCGGTGCATGATCGGGACGCTATTGAAGAGGAGGAAGTAGTAGACGACGACGAGGTGGGTGACGCCAGGGCCCTGATCTACCGATACGAGCTCAGTTCAGGTAGGAAGTTCTCCACGATGCCGTAGCACCCCAGCCAGTTGTAGACTACGATGTCGTCCTATCGGATGTCTATCGCGTGCCCGTCTTGTACATCAGCATTCGTGACCCTCAGCACCGGTACCCGCCGACCATGACTACGTTGTACGAGCACTTGGTCCCGCCACAGTTCAAAGCGCAGACAGAGAATGTTGGTGTCATTGGAGGCATTACCGTTACTGTGAGAAGTGTAATCTCAAGTATTGGATTCAACTAACCATAGCAGGAGCACCCGCTCACCAACAGACCCGTGTTCTTCATCCATCCATGTCAGACGGCTGATGTGATGGAGGCCAGTGTCGAGAGCGTCATAACAGCAGATGAGTATCTGATCATATGGATAGGGGCCATGGGAAAGGCCGTTGGTCTGAATATGCCGTTACAACTAGCAATACCAAACGATACTTGATATTGATATGCTTGATTTACAATTCGTGTCACAGTATAATACAACTACAACCGCATCCGTACACTTGCCTTCTCTAGCTCGCCAATGTTGCCCATACCCGCCAGGCTCCACTTCTCCGCCACGAAGCCCTCATTGACTTGGTGTCGTAGCATCCCACTTTCGGCGTAGTACTCCATGATCGACCGGGCCTCTTCCTTGGTCAGCCCGCCGACATTGATAATGTCAAGCCCCTTGGAGTCGCTGTGGAGATCCTTGAGAGCGTCCATGACGCGCACGTCTACGCTCTTGTAGGGGTTCCATTCTGGCAGTTTGTCTGCAGACTTCTGACGGGCTTCGGCTGCTTCGATACAGTGGTCCATCGCTGGCGACGTAGGGGCGTTTGATCGTGAGGTTGCGCCGAGCACCACGCCGCCGTTGGGTAGTTTCCTTTGGCCTGAAAGGTGGTCGACGAAGTGGCGTATAAGAGTCAGGTCGTGAGCGTGGATAGGCTTTACTTCCGGAGACATGTACTCGGAGTGGCGCATGATATGCGACAGACCATCGAGCGCAAGCAGGATTTGCGGACGACCGGGCAGAGATAGTTCATTCCATAACGCAACAAAGACTGGCCATGATGCCTCGGGGTTGGCCATACCAAGCGCCGCCAGCTCCTTCAGTGTAGCACCCGCAGGAAGCGGCAGAGGCAGTTCAGGCTGCGTGCTAAGTCTTGTGGCAGCAAGGAATGCTCCGTTCGACAGGAGAATTTGCTGGAGAAGATTTGCTGTGTACGTATCTTGAGTATATTGCATCGGTTCTGAGTTGGGAAGAGGCGCATAGTCTGTATGCGCGTTGACGAGGGTTTGGGCTGAGAGTTGTCAGTGGCATGTTTCTGCCTCGAAACCACAGTCCATACCTTCTGGGATGCTGATCACAAACCAGTCCCGTAGAAAACCCATAGTAAGGCCTTGAAGTACCAATGTGCTCTTCCCGCTCATTCTTTGTCCGCACAGTATCCGCCTTATTGTCTTCTTGGAGCTCTCGGCCTCGTTGAATAGCCTCGCGAGTTCAATCGCCTCTTTCCTCATCAACACGGCTGGTCGGCGGAACAGACCCCATCCTTGACTTGTTTTGAAAGCCTCGACGGCTCGCAGCGCATCCACTACAGTCTCCTGCGGTAGTCCCATGACCTTGCCCTCATTCTGTTCGCTGAGAACATTGTCCTTGGTGAGGTCCCGCAGCGAAGATACTTCGAGTGCGTTGTCGTTACTCAGAACGATGCGCTTCCGCTGGGCTTTGCGCTCTCCTTGGGCGGGCCGCTTGCCCGAGTCACCTCCTGATGCTCCTCTGCCCTTCTTCGTGTTCAGAGACTTGACACCCTTCTTGGGGGCGGCGGTCATGCCCTTCTTCTTGGGTCCTGTCACGGCATAGCGGGCGGACGACGTGGAAAAGCAGGCTATCTGGGGGCGTAGCACGCGCGGTGCAATGCAGCCATGGGCGGCGGCATCAAGCGACAGCTGCGAGAAGCTCCGGAGACACGTGGAAGGCGGCATGACGGGTTATCGAGGCTCTGGCCCTCCGCAATGGGCGAATTGGCGATGCGAGAGACGAATTCTGTGATGGTCGCAGCCTCGGGAGTCCGCCGCTCGTGCACGGACTCGAAATTTATTCTGAACTTTTGGCAGCAGGCGCGCAAAGTGAAATTCTACCAAAACCACTCGACCCTCGCAAAATGTCAGACACTGAAATGGACGGCGGCGTCGCGCTCGGTGGCACTTCGCCCACACATTCCCAGCTCGCCGACGAAATCAACGGAGGCGCAATGGACGTCAAGTCCAACGGCGCACCTTCCGTCGCAGACTCGACCGTCTCCAGCCGACTGTACGTCGCATGCTTGCTTTGTCCTCTACCACGCCGTTGCTGACTCAACACAGACCCGTCACGGTGAACAAGCCCACGCCCTTCACCTTTGACCTGGGCAACCTGCTCGCAAACGACCCCAACCCCGTCCCCGCCGGCGCCGACGAAGCCACCCTCGCTGCCACTGCCCGCGATGCTGCTCAAGCCCTCATCAACCAGCTCCTCTCGACCTGCGAAATCAAGTCAAACTCAGAGGGCGTCCACCTCGTGCTCCCCGCGCCAACAACACCCCTCCCTCGCGAGAAGCCTATTCCCGAAGCCAAGGAGCCCACCAAGTGGGACAAGTTTGCTGCGAAGAAGGGCATCAAGAACACGAAGCGCGACACCAAGCTGGCTTACGACGAGGCCACGGGCGACTGGGTACCCAAGTGGGGTTACAAGGGCAAGAACAAGGCGGGCGAGAACGACTGGCTGGTCGAGGTTGACGAGAAGAAGGAAGCCAAGACCGGTGAGGCTCACGACCAGAGGGCGGATAATCGGAAAGACCGGAAGGAGAGGATGCGCCGCAACGAGAGGAAGGAACGCGCGAACAGCGTCAAGTCTCGAAAGGTTGGTGCGTGAGCTGGAGCACTTGACCTTTACCTGAGAGAGGCCAATCTATAAAACGACATGCATTGGGCGGCGTTAATCTTACGGCATGTATTCGACTTACGGGCGCAGGGCTAAAAGCTTGCGAACTTGCACTTTATTGATTCTTTCCGAGGCTGCAACATTGTCTCCCAGATACCATGAGTAACCACGCCGTCGAATATACCATTTCTGCACTTTATCGAGCTACGCGTTTACTATCCAAGTGAAAATGAGTCGGAAGTTTGGAAGCTTACTTCAACAAGCCAAGGTTCAGAAGTTTCGACAGTGCCATGTCTATTGCGACACGCCTAGAGTCCGCTCTACTGTTCTGCCTAAGCTTCAACCCTACATTTTAAAGAGTATATAGGAAATCTGGCCGCTGGTCCCCCATCTCTTCAATCTCTTTTTCGCTCTTACCCTCAATCCAGTGGTCCCGCGCCCCCTGCCTCCTCTTCTTGTTCTCCCACGCAAGCAGAAATCGGGTCACAATGCTCCCGCCAAGCAGCCACAGCGTCAGATACGCCAGAACCACACCATGTCCCAGGAAATAGCGCGGCTTATCCCTGCTGCGGTAGATGTTCGACGAAACGACGCCATTGATGTTGCCCCAGCCTATCACAAAGCCAAGGGTGACGCCACGCTTGTACACACCCTCGACGTTGTTGGCGGCCCAGGATATGGTATTCGCTATCGTTGCTAGTGGAGCATGTTAGAACCAAGCGATCCATGCTGCTAGATGAGTTCACTTACGATAGATGCCCACAGCTCCCAAAAACGTGCCTGCGTACTGAACATTCGGACTGGCAGACCCGAGCAACATGGCAAAGCCCACGATACCAAAGAGCGAGACTCCCATATTGCAGTAACCCCTCTGTTGCGTGCGATCAGCAATGTAACCCACTACCACCGTCACCACAGCTGCAACTGCATACGGTGGCACGGAAAGCAGGTTCGCTGTTGTAGACTTATAGCCCAACCCGGCAATAATGGTGGGCAGGAAGAGACTGAAGGCATAGAGCGAACCGTCTGCGCCCATGTAGATGATACTGAACATGAGCGTCTTCCAGTCCTTGACAGATTGCCAAAAGTACTTGGTCTGGAACTCTTCGTGCGCAGCTGAGGCCTGTTTATCGGCGCGTAGACGGCGGAGAACGCGCGCTCGGTCGTCAGGAGAGAGAAACGTGGCTTCGGCGGGGAAGTCGTGGACCATCCAGTAACTTGCTATTCCTACAAGGATGGTGGCGAGACCTTCAAGGATCTGGGGTTATTGTCAGCAACATGGTCACAGGTAAGAAGAAGCGTTCAAGTTGCACTTACGAAGATCCACGCCCAGCCTGGCTTTCCGCCTACGCCTCCCATCTGCGCAATTCCAGCGGCGAGTAGGCCACCAAAACTGCCAGCTAGAGCGGCAGCCGAAAAGAAGATTGCAGCTCGGATGCCGAACTCGGAACGTTTGTACCAGCAACTCAGGTAGTAGTTTACTCCAGGAAACAGTCCAGCCTCAGCACATCCCAGCCACCACCGCTACGCATCGTCAGCAAGATAACCCTTGATACCAGATCACCAACCGCAAAACACTCACCGCAGTCATAAGACCAGCATAATTATGCACCAACCCCATGCACGTCATACAAATCCCCCACCAAATCATGATAAGTGGTAAGAAGATACTGGGGCGTAACTTCTTCAACAGCACATTGGTCAGCGGCTCAAAGACGGAGTAGCTGACGAAGAAGATGGTCAGACTGGCATTGTACTGGCCGTCAGTCATGTTGAGATCTTCTTGCAAGCCATCGACTTTGGCGTTGCCGATGTTCGTGCGGTCTAGGAAGGAGATCAAGTAGAGGAAGGAGAGCCATGGAATTAGTCGGAAGTCGAGTTTGCGGAGGAGGGCTTTGTCCTGTGGGGTGGGGTGTTAGTATGTATATGGCAAGGAGCTGAGATGTGACTTACATGCGCAGCGCGTTCTTCTTCGCTGAGACCGGCGTCGGGATCAGGTAGGTTCTCGATTGTGTGGACATGTTTTGCCGTTTCAACATGCTCCTCGCCGATAGTCTTCTCTTCCTCGCTCGACCTATCGATTGGCCGCTCTACTCCAGAGGCCATGTTGTCGACGTAGAGACAGAGCGTGAGCTAGTAGCTGGGCAAGATGTCAAACCTCCAACAAGCCTCTTAGTGAATCCCAGTGCCCAGAGCGCAGAAAAGGGTTCGCGCAGAAACGTCAAGCAACAAATCGCGGTCCGAAAGAATCACAAGTCAGTAATCTCAACCATGGAACTGGGAACTTGCTTGTCCGGAATTACCCCTCGATCAGCGAGCGAGACGCTGTCCCTTAAGAACGTCACCGACTGTCGAACCACTGGAGAAAGCGGCTGGGGTATCATCAGCCCGAGGCTATTGAGCCGCCTATCATCTAGTCCACTCATGATGATCTTATTCCGATGACGGCAGGGACTGGTGTGCATTTCTCCAGGATCCAATCCCCACCATCCACTCCCTAGCGCTTGCCGATCCCTGGCTTCACCATGGGAATTTCTCCCGCGGAGAGTCGGGGTTCAGAAGTAGGAGCGAAGTGCCGTTCATGTGAGTATCTGACTGACTGTATGATGATGCTGAAACTTTGATTCTATATCCTCAGCATTTACTCATTTCCTTGGATCTTTCCATGTTCACAGCGGTAATGAGCTGTGGTTGTGACGAAGAGGCTCGTGTCGCATGTGGCCCACTATTGACATCCCCCGCTAGTGGCCGTCTTGAAGCTACGATACAGCGTCGACAGAACGTATTTGATGCCGCCTCATCCTTTGAAGCAAACGATGTGCATATTCGTTTCAGATCTCAACGGCACAGCATTATGGGTGCCGAGCATTGAGGCGTTGTATGCCGAGCATTCAAGCGTGAAGGGCGTTGCAACGTGTGCGGGGGTCAAAGATGCGGGGGACGGCTAAGCTTCCACATAAGCATGCGCTTGTGACGTTGCTTGCTTAGACATCACCAAGTGCTTATCTGCTAGCAATACGGATATAATCGTGCGGAATTAAGCACTTCTCGACACTGTAAGTCGAAAAATGTACAGCTTTTTAATCCTTCTGGCGGGAGAGTGTCATTAGATCCCATGAAGGAGAGGCGCGGATTGATGCGCTGAAGCAAGGCTCAATACCTGTCCATTCGGTGCTTCCGACCGGGCTTCCCTACTGCGGTAGTGCCGAAATCGCTAAATGCTTCAGCATGGAGCCACCATGATAGTATCCACACAGCGTCTCGTGACCGAAAATGTGGATATACCGTAAATTGTTCATGATCGTTTTCCAAGGCACGCGCCCGCGTTATCATCCGGTCTGTGTGTAGCCGCGATATCAGAAGCCTGTTTCTCACAAGTATCTTGAGCCAGCGCTCCACTCGATGCGGGCCCGCTCTGGTCGATTTTAGCCTCCACATACTCATTCCCTTCTTTCCTTTCAGGTATGAGGCCGAATAGCCCGGATCGCTTTCGGACGATGGCTAAAATGACCGCGACGATGACATTGAGTCCTGTGAACGCCAGCATGACTTGGAACTGTCTATTGTCTGGCACGGTGGTGCTAATCAGCATGTATGTCTCGTATAGCTATATTTCTAGGGAATTGAAACTTACAGCTGTTACCAAAGATGACACCAACACGATCCCTCGCCACATCCGGTAAGTGCGCAATCAACGATGTCGAACTTTGCATCTCCCTGATTTCCTCGCGACTCAAAAAACTGGACAACCCTGTGTTCAATTGCTCGCGATGGATTGCAGAGCAGATGGCGACGGCGACACATCCGCCAAGCGTCCGCACCATGTTGAGCGCTCCGGTACCGACAGCGATGTCCTCTTCTGGAATTGAGGTAGCGACAAGCACGAAGTATGGCGGACTTGCAAGACCCAAAGCAAGACCAGCAATAATTTCGTAACCGTACAGTCCAGGCCACAGGTGAGAGTAGGTCGGCAAACTACTAAGAAGTCCAATACCAACGCATACGATCGCGGTCGACCCAATCAAAACAGTCTCAACTGGTGCCTTCTTTACTGCTAGTCCGGACGCCATAGCACCAATCGGAGTCACAACGGTAGCAGGCAACAGAAGGATACCGGCACGCTCCGCGCTTGTAAAGTTCACTCCCTGAAAGCGTTGTGGCAGCTGGACGAAGACAACGTAAAATGCGAATCCTAAGAGAAACTGACTTCTGTCCCGTTGTTAGCGGAGTCCGACTGCAGTGTTCCAGACTTACAACAGAGTCAACGCCATGGATGCATTCCGAAGAAAGTGTACAGGAAAGACGGGGGCTTTCTGCGTTCTGGACGATATCCAATACTCATACAACCCAAAGAGTACCAGGAGAGCGATTCCAGCTACAAGTGGTCCGATGATAACACCACTGCCCCAGGCATGCGACGCACCGGCTTCCTGAAGGGCGTAGATGAGAGGTATAGGCCAGCAGACAGACAAGAAGCCACCATAGATGTCCAAATGGCGTATGCGTTGCAGATTCGTTCTACCGTCGTCGAATGCAGGCATCGAGAAAAACAGCATTGCCATTGCGACACCGATTATGGGGCCACTAATGCTAGTCAGCTCGCACAGCTCGATAGTCCGCGCTTTGCATACTTCATGAAGAATATCCATCTCCAAGTTGCTCGATCAGCGATGATGCCACCGAGTAGAGGTCCTAGCAGGTTTGCCAAAGCGAATACCGAGCTTACGATCCCAGAGTAGAAGCCAATCTTCTCAGGGACAATCATCTTCATGATGGCGACGAATGTCAAGCTGTAGAGGCCAGATCCTCCAATGCCTTGGAAGGCGCGGAATACGATTAGTTGAGTCATTGTCTGCGCTCCACCACAAGCCATGGAGGATACCAGGAAGATTGACGCGCAGAGTAGAAGGAGAGTCTTGAGGCCCCAAATGTCGCTCAGCTTTGCTGTGATCATCAAGAACGCTGCACCGTTAGTCCAGTGACCAGACTCCTGAGCGAATGAGTCTTACAGTTATATGTAAGTAGATACGCGGTAATTAGCCATGCCGCCTGCTCCAGAGCGCCATAATCACTCGAAATTTTGATGAGCGCGGTCGTGACGATGGTAGTGTCCAAGGCAGATAAGAAAAGACAAAGCCATAGTCCAGCGATAATGACGTGTAACCGATTTGAGCTGATGTTCGGTACGATTGGCACAGCGGAGGGTGTGATATCGTCAGTAACCCGGTTACTGTCATTGTCGGCCATGATGTTGTTGAGGTCAAGATGCTTGTCCGTCCTCCGTCTTACTATAAATTACCAGCCACGTTTGCGGCGTAAGCACATGTGCGAAGGATGAAGCCCCTGCAGCAGATACAGGGCTCGCCCGGATTGAGCTCAGCTGTAGAAGGCTGCATCCGTCCCAATGGAATGCATGCTTCTAGGCTGCAGCGGGGTAAGAAACGGAGAGCGCAGGCTCGAGAGCTGCTGCATTACGATGCGCCAGACTGCAGAAGGTCCGCATGCCTTTGACAAGTAGGACGCCCTGTCCCTATGCTGCGGTCCTTGCGTGTCCAAAGCGCGTTCGCTTGGGGTAACGCGTGGAGGAGAAGCCGCTCTTCCGAATTTTCTCCCCTTGAATACAGCACCTTCAATAACCTCTGCATCGCTTTCCATCTCACAACTGTATGCCATCATGATGATGCTCAACCGAAAACCATGGGGATTGGTACTGGGTGAGTATGGTAATTTTGGATATATACACCGCATGCATGCAGGCATCGATGCGGCTTACAGCCACTGGAAGCCGTGACGAGCGGACGCGAGAGCTGGAAACCCCCTATTTCCTTATACCCCCTTTAGTCGTCTTCAGCGATTTCCTTTAGTCGCAGCGCTTTCTTTTGAACGTAAAGTGCAGGTAACGACTGTTGGTTGGTGTTCGTGGTTTCAAGCCCGCCACGCGAAACTCGCGCGCGCCTGCAGCTGTGACGTCAAACGCCGATGGGACGCGACTTCCATCCTAGCAGTACCGCGCTCTCACTTCCTTAGGTGCATTGCCCGCGTCCACATCTTCAACGACACTCCGCTATCCTGCTCGTGTAGGGCGAAAAATGCTAATTCCATTCTCTTCTACTTTCCTTTATCGCAATGACCTCAATCTCGTTTGAAGCTGCTCTCAAGCTGCCCGACAACGACGCGTCCAACTTACGTCTCTACAAGCTCGTCTCTGCACGCGACTTCAGCAGCTCGAGTCTTTCTTCAGTCGCGCAGGGCTATCTGAGTAGTTTCTGCGACCCTGGTCTTTCTATAATCCGGCGGCGATGGATCGGCATCGCGCTCGCAGGCATGCTGGAAATGCCGGCGGTGGCCACACACATCGGGGCATCGACTAAGCGTCTACGCAATCTGGGAGCCATCATTCTGAGCGAAACTGAACAGGAGCAGATCAAAATTGTTGCTGGTATCATCATACGGCAGGCACTGGAACAAGGGATCGAGTACAGCAGGTTCTGGTCCACGGGAAAAGTCGGACACAGCGCCCCGAATTATCCGCTCCAGGCCGATGCCGAATGGATGCAGAAGTTCCAGGGCTTTCTCGATATTCTGAGCGACCTGGCACTCGCGAAACCAACCAACGAGCCCTCTGTCATGTACCTAGTCTCACTATTCGCCACAGATGGGTTCAAATGGCGGGAGTCAAGCGCTACGTTTCCTATCGCGCTCATTGAGGCTGGAGTGCTGACCATCATTGCGCCCGATGAGCACCTGAAAGACTGCCAGTTTGTAGACATACCATTCGAGCACATTCTGAACACGCGATCAGAACCGTCGAAACTACACAACTCACAGGCTCAACGTACAGAGCACGAACCATGGGATCTCGTCATGACACTCACGTCTGAGCCCTGGAGCTACCGTCTTAATTCCACGCAACGCATTGCGACTGATCTATCGCTAATGTTCAAGCATTCTGGTGACGCGGTAGAGTGGGAGAGCTGTATTAAAGCCCATCAGAAAGAACGTGAGCCTCGTTCGAGAGTGTCTCGAAACTTGCCTATCGATGCGAGCTCGCCTTCGATCCGACAGTCAAACGCAAGAAGATCGCTTCGAAGTGGCTCCCAGACGCTTTGGAAAGAGCGCGTCACCTCCAAGAAACTTACCGCAGACAGTAGCGGTGCGACAGCCCTGCAACTCCCGCCACAGCATCCATCGTCGACATCGAAACGCACGTACGGCAAAGGAAAGCTACCCCGTGTATCTCAAGCCACCAAACAGAATATCTTCAAAAAGCTCAACTCGGAAGACGAAGCTCTCGATGTGCTTATAGAAAGCAAGAGAAATGTCTACAATACTTCTTCGGACACGTCGGGTGTTGCTTCATCTCCCCGAAGAAATTTACGAAGCTCAAAGGCTGCCTCGGACAAGGAGCCAGTCAAGACTAAGACTAAGGCACGCACATTGCATAACAAGAATGGAGCAGACGACGACGAAGATTTTATACCAAGTCAGACGAGGCCGAAAACAAGGACAACCCCCAAACGCAAAGCAACACCAGATCCCATGACCGATGATAACCCGAGAAAGCGATCCCGTAAAGAGCTGAACAAAGGTCCGAAGTCGACTGTGACCGGCGCAAAACAACAGGCGAAAGCTCTTCCGCTGGCGAAACCATCAAAACCTCCATCATCCGTCCCTTCGTCACGACACACCTTGATCGGAGGACTTCTGGGTCTCCAAAGACCTGCCAAGATCTCCGAGAGCCCGTTCAAGAAGCCAACATTACCTGCAAGAGTCGCTCAAACACCGTCAACTCCTACCAAACCGAGTAGAAAGACTGTGGGAGTACCAGTGCGACCCCAAACCCCTGTGGAAGCACGGAGATGTTCTGGAGATGATGCTTTGCACTACATGGCATCGTCACCGCCTGTGGCTGATGAGGCCGAAGAGAATGATGAGTGGCATCATGCGATTGCTGTCGAGGCCGCTATGCTCTCTAGCAACAGCAAACCTACCCCCGCGTCACCAAATGCAGAATCAACAGCGATCTCTGGTCACGCTGATTGTGAGGATATAGCCTCGGAAAAGAAGACAGGAGATTGGCAGACCGCGAAAAGCGACCCCTTTGGCCGACGATCTGCTGGGAAGAAGGCCACATCGTTCATACGCCGACTGACTGGAGAAGGTTCATTGAACGAGGATATAGCCCCTACGATTGACGTTTCAAACCAGCGGCCTTTGCTAGTCGCCGGTTCTAGCGCAACTGAAGCCTTACCTTCAATTGCAGCGAGTCGACCAGTCCTACAAAAGACGCCTTCGGGTGGGAAAGAGGCGACTCTTACAGAAGGAGATACGAACAAGGCGCACCCAAATCCCAAGGCTGCGAGCCCTTATACGGGCACAACAGATCATCAGACACAAGAGTCGAGAGATCAAGGAGGAGTGCAACAAAAAGACGACACAAAGAGACATAACGAGCAGGCTGGCACACATCCAAAGCCCACAGCGCTATCCAAAGAGAAGACAACGACCCGAAAGGTATCCGAAGATGCGGCAGGAAACGGGACGACTGTACCCACCTTGCTTTTCAACTCGCGGTTCATCGATACCACTCAGCCAACTGTTCAGGCCGACCAAGAAGCCACTGAAAGTACAAGGAACTTGCTCGAAGAGACTCGGCAGATCGTTGACCAACCGCAACAACTCAACGAAGGGATCCGGCAATTGAACGATGGCGGGCCTATCGAGCAGGCGTATCACGAGGACGATACTCTGATCGGTGGCGGTGAAGACAATCAGGAAGCTGACAATGACTTCTTCGACGCTTCGCCAATACATCTCCAATCCTCCCCGCCACACCTAGGCTCTTCTAGTAGCCATAGCTCGACCTCTGCCGTACGCGAGCCATTAACGGACCCACCTCTACCAACTTCGCAAGCAGAAGAGATGGACTGGGAAGCGAGTCTGCAGCCACACCAGCGTGATCTTCATGAACTGATGATACGAACTTCCAAGCGGGTTATGCGGCACATTATCAACAACGAGGCTAGTTTAGACGACATCGCTGAGATGTATGCGCAGGATGGCGAGCATGTACTGAGCACCCTGATCAAGCGACACGATACCGACTACGAGGATGTCTTCCAGGGTATGGAGAGCACAAAGGGAAAACTTAGGAAAGAGCTTCAGCGCGCCGCCAAGCAGATGGCGAAGGATAGAGAGAGCGTCGCTACTATTGCTTGATTATTGTGGAGTTCACCATGCAATCTTATGAAAGAGGTCAACGTTTAATGGGGGGATGTACCATGCAGGACATGAAATGTATGATAGTAGAGAAGCCTCTTCACGAGCAAGACGAGCACATGACAGCGAAGCACAGGATTTCAATAAGTAGGCATCAGTAGTTACCAGCACCACATATGAATACGATATCTTGTCCCACACGATGGTCAAAGGCTCCCTCAGCTAGTATAAGACGCGCCATCATGTGTCGAACTCTCACGAGAGTTGCGCTGTGAATTCTGTTCCTTACTCTTCCCCGTCTCAACAATATGTCTCATAGAGATGCCACCCCACGGCAGACCCGAGAGCACCTGTCTTGCATCAGTCTTCTCTGGTTCAGGCGATGCATATGCGCTTCCAGCCTGTCGCTGATTCTCGAGGTCTCGCTCCGTCTCCTCTTTCTGCTCTTTTACTTTGTCGCCTGGCTTGTGTTAGTGCAGACCGAATAGCTATTACACTTGGTGCTACGAACGAAATCTTCTTTGGGCGAGTTTGTTTTGTATTTTGCGTCTTTCGTTCGGGTCTTTGATGTCGGACCAGGCGTCGGGTCCGGCTTCTGGAGAATCGTCGCCAGTTACGACGGATTTGCTTTTCGAGGTGGCTTGGCCAGGGCTGGGTTGTTGGTCTTGAGACATGCTTCCAGTGATGGGGTCGCAGTAGGATTGGGGAGTCTGGCGAGGTGATCTTTATTGAGGCGATGCCTTCCTGAGATAGTTGCTGGAGCGGTAGAGACAGTGTTGATGGAACTTTTTCGTTGGAGTGGTCGCAATTCGCACTTATTACATGTGGTCAAGACGGGTGTCTTGTAGAGGATGATGGGCCGGCTGGAGACGTGCTTGTTGCTGGGAAGTAGACTATGGACGTAGAATTATGGTAGTGGAACTTCATTTCCATCTGTTAGGCTGTTTCCTAGTCAGCATCTCTATAGTTACGTGATTTTAAGGGATCCGTCTCTCAGCCGCAAGACGTAATGCTTGAGGAAGGAGCGC